GTAAGTGGTGGCAGGCTACTGTGTGAGAAGTTCTCTTCAATCTGCTTGGCCAGCGTCCAGAAAGACGGACTGCCATTTGGCTGCGACATTACCTTGCCAAATCAGACATATATCTCATCCTTTTCAAAGAAATTGTACAAAATCTTCAAATTTGTGAAGTTAGCGAGTTTCACTTCATTCGTTGTTACCGGTCATGCCCAAATCATCAGTTTTTGCCGTACTGTGGTATAAATCATATGTCACAGTTTGTGTGCACTGATTGCAACAGTTAGATGGTACCAAAAATATTTTCATAAATAGGAGATCTTTCCCATTCCGGATCAAGCAATCTACCAAAGATGGTTATATTCATGATACCTAGCAAATTTTCATGAAAAATCCGCTGTACGTAGGTATATCAGAGCTTTTTTATATTTGTTCTTCAATTTGATGATACAACACATCTGCCAAAGATGATCTTAATCAGGATAGTAAACTATGATGAAGGTCCACTGTATGTAAGAATTTTCAGGTACGTCATTCGCAATTTGAAGATACGAGAGTTCACGATGGTGTTCACACTATTCAAATATTCTTCAAGAAGTGATATCAGTTTAGCTCCATATATCATAAGTTCAGTTTGTGTTCCTACTTCAAATTCAAAACCAGCAAATGTAAAAGATTAATTTCGCACCCTCCACCATGGGACGTGATTATCGTTAGACTTAGCAACCCTGCAGGTGACAGATAGATATCCCCGTGAGTCAAAAATTCAATCAAACAAGGAACATTATTATTTTTTATGATTTTTGGAGTTAAAAGACATTATTTGTTAGAAATTTTTGTCCATAGCAATTGCATTATGCATCACGGAGATGTAGGGTGATAACCTCCAGGTCTCTCGTCAGAGACGAAGTCGTCGCTAATGCTCTTTATTCCAGCTCAGCTGCAGAGATCGCCTTGTCACTCTGAATTCCTGCATGTAGAGTGTTGTCATCAGCGAAGCTGTGGATTGGGTAGTTCGTGCAGGAAAGGAGGTCGTTGATATGCAAGAAGAACCGTGTCAGAGCCAAAGCCAATCCCTTGGGAACACCCGCGTTGACCTTGCGGGATGAAGAGGAGATCCCGTCTACCTTGCGGCCAGAGAGAAAGTCATCCATCTGCAAAGCTTTTCTGGGAGGTCATGAGATGGAAGTTTGCATAAAAGGGCAGCGAGCCACAGCTGATTGAATGCTGTCGTGATATCAAGATCAACGACCTAAGCCTCACCATAATACTGGATTAGTTTACTCCACAATTGCGTGACGTAAGCTAGGAGGTCCGCTGTGGATCGCTGGTGTCGGAAACCATACTGCCTGTTACTAATCAAGCCGAGGTAGTCCAGAAGCTCGCGATTTATGCTCTTCTCATGAACTTACTTATAACAGAAAACAGAGCTATAGGCCTGTAGTTGTAAAGGTCGGTTTTAGATCCTTTTTCTGGTATGGATCGGACATGAGAAAATTTACAGTTCTCTGGATTCATAAGATATCTGGAAGAGACGCGAAAGAACTGGGGCAAGCTCCGCTGCACAACTCTTCAGTACAATCAAGTCCGGACCGGAAGCTTTGTTGGGGGGCGTCCATAGTGGAGTTGGCAGGAAGGATCTTGGCAAGCACTTCAGCTTTGGCCTTCGAGTTACTTACAATCGTTTCATCCTGACTTAAGTGGTGGCAGGCTACTGTGTGAGAAGTTCTCTTCAATCTGCTTGACCAGTGTCCAGAAAGACCAACCGCCATTTAGCTGCGACATTACCTTGCCAAATCGGACATATCTTTGATCATTTTCAAAGAAATTGTACAAAATCTTCAAATTTCACTGCCGCCCCGCGGCAAGACGACCTGTATGGTAAATTTGTGTTGAAGGGGCAGCGGGTCATGCTATAAATCATACACGTATGTCACAGTTTTTGTGCACTGATTGCAACGGTTAGATGATACCAAAAATATTTTCATAAATAGGAGATCTTTCCCATTCCGAATCGAACAATCTGCCAAAGATGGTTAAAATCATGATACCTAGTAAATTTTCATGAAAAATCCGGTGTGCGTAGGTATATCAGAGCTTCTTTATATTTGTTCATCAAGTTGATGATACAACACATCTGTTAAAGATTATCATAACCAGGATAGTAAACTATGACGAAGGTCCACTGTATGTAAGAATTTTCAGATACTTCAATGCAATTTGAAGATGCAACAGACCATGATGGTGTACACACTTTTCAAATATTCTTCAAGATGTGACATCAGTCTAGCTCCAACTACCATATGAACTATGTTTGTATTCCTACTCTAAGTTCAAAACCAGCAAATGTAAAAGATTGATTTCGCACTCTCCACTCCGGGACGTGATGGTCGTTGGCAACCTTGCGAGTGACAGATAGATAATCCCACTAGTCAAAAATGCAATCAAACAAGAAACATTATTATTTTTCATGATTTTTGAAGATAAAAGACATTAGTTGTGAGAAATTAGGCGTGAGTCTGTTCACGATGAATTGCCAAACCAAACAGAGAATAAATCACTTGACAGCTGTCAAATCGGTTGCCATCTTCAAAAGTAATGCCAACTTAAAGTTCTATACCTCGAAAAAAAAAACACTTATTATGATGTAAAGGAAAACGAAGATATTATTGGAATGTATTTTATATTCTATTTTCTTCCAAATACAGACAAATCCGCACTATGCACCAGGTATGTAGCTATACTGATAACATATAAACACTCAGTATATTGAACTTAATAAATTCAAGATTGCGATGCATTAACAAACTTCCAAACCTGATATTAAACTTAGCAGCTAGAAAATCGACCTATTATTTCTCCCATTCCAATTGGCTAAGGGATAACGGTTTCTCAAATGTAAATTTATAAGAGAAATCAAAATACATGCAAGTTGTCCTGTTTTCCTGTTTTCTCTATACAAAAGCATCATGTTGCAATCAAAAAGTGTTCTTGTTTATAATATAATCGCTTTTTCACGATTTTATACAATATTTCAATAGAAATCACTGATATTCAGAGAGTTTTGACAGCTTCCGTCAAATTGTATTCCAATAAGGTAGCTTTTCCTATTGGTCCTAACTGATTAACGATGGTAAAATAGGCCCTTAGAGAACCAAAACATAACTCATATAAAGCTGAAGAATGATTCACTTTATTCGCAAAAAAAGTAATTCCAATTCTTTGTTTCGAATTTTTCAGTTTAAGGAAAGGATGAAAAAACACTTCGACTACAATATCTGTCTGATGAATCACTAGAGCTTCTCTCCAGTGACCCAGTTGGGTTACTCAGGGTAAATCGGAGTAACTCAGTAGTGCTCAGCACCAAGACGGTTCTACTACATACTGTATTTACATGCATTGTTTGTAGAGCTTTTCGGGAGCATATCACTCTCAAACCAAAAACCATTGGAAAGCAGATTGGATTGCAATTTGAAGCCGTTTTTGACAGCCTTCCACCTAGGAGTTGCTTATTCTACAGATTCTCATGCCACCACAGATTTTCTTTAGAAAATGTATTTGAACACGATATGAGACATGACCCGCCCCCAGTATCATGAAGTTGGCCAAAATGTCGAAAATTGCATACCCAATCAATGTAACGGGTCGAGTGCGATATTCCATTCATATAGGCGGTTAGGTTTCGTTTCTAAAGGCATTCAAATGGTCAGCCAAATAAACCAGTTCTGAATTAAAAAAAAACGCTTTTGTCTGAAATATCTGCTGAACGAATTATCATATCCCAATTTGGCGCTCATTTTTGACAAATCAAATAATTTTGATCTACTTTGAGAGACATGTCACAAGGAATCGATCACATTCGTTAGATCCATTAATTCAAAAAACGGCTTTTCATTAGTCAAATTTGGGCCATAGGCGCAAATTTTAGTTCCCACGGATCAATAGTAAACTCGTCACTAAGAGCTGTTATTAACTGTAACGACTTTTACATCAATGTATCAACACGAAAGTCTCCCAACGATACTTCACATTGCTAAAAATGTAACAATCCGTTTGGCATACGAATCCAGCGATTAGTTCTAAAAAGTCGTAAAAACTCTCGAACATAGTCAGGCCCAGTTTATGATAATCCAGACATTAAGAAATTAAACAGATGCTTCCCGAGCCGACCCAAAGTGAACTGGCTATCTCATCTTAGTACAAAGGAAAATGCTTTATGGCCGGAACTAATTACATTCTAATTGCTAATTGCTAATTGCTTTTTGGTGGTTATTAGACTCAAACTCTCCAATTGACTTTAATGTTGTCATGGTTGGAACATTATTAAGATATTAGTTAATATTATGATTTTGGAACTTTGTACCGAAACCACCACTACCAGTTTCTACGTGTTTCATTTTACACAAATGAAAACTGCTACTACTGCCACGGCCCCACCTTTTCATATAGAGTAGAGATTGTGGAACAGTCTGCCCGATGAGACTTTTCCTAGTTCAAAAATCAGATAATAGTACATTCCATACCTTGGTAGGAGAGTACGCCATTATTGATGGAGCACTTTTACAGCTGAGGAGTATAACATGCGAGGTATGTATGTGGTGTATATATTAGAGAGAAGAATGGTACTTTAATAGCGACCCCAGACTTGATTTTATAATTTCCTTCATGAATTCCAATCCAAATCCCCAAAATTCCATACAAAATCCGACTTGATCCGTTTTCTCAGAGGGGTTAACTGGTCTCGAACATAACTCTTTATAAACTGATGACTGTGTTGCGTCGGAAGTGCAGAGTCGACGTATTTAACAACATTTTTCTTCTATGCATCCAGATGTCTTTTTTGATTAGCTAGTTCTGCCGCACCTCACATGGAATCAATCTGATCCATGAAATTTTTCCTTTCCCACAATAAGACATGTACGTAATTCCGCACTAGGCTGCATTGCCCATCTCCTTATCAGATTCCTCGCTTTCATCTCCCATCCCTGTGAAATTCTACATTCCAAGCTGGGGAACGCTGGCCTCTGGGTCGCTCCGGATCGCTTCGGCAGCTGCTTCTGCCTCCTCCGCCAATATTTGCGAACCCTATTGACTGGAGGTTGACACGAAATACCGACTTTATTAAGGTGTTACCCCAAAACGACCGTAGCCATGGAGACGCGCAACGTCGTCACATAGAAAGTGGCACACGACAACGAATTCGAACAGGTTAGGGAGACAAATCTATATGTTTACACTACGTTGTTCGTTTCCAAAATTGCTAGTTTTAGTAAGTTTAAGTGCATACTTTTGGCTCATTTGCTACCAAAGTGACAAACCAATATATCGGCGTACATTATTTTCACTAGAAAGGATATTTGAATAACCAATCATTCTGGGTGTACTCAAGCGGCAGTTGCGATGTGGATCGCCCAGTTATTGTTATTTCTTATGAACAACGGTAAATTAAATAAGGCAAAGTAACAAAAGCAAAACATACAAAAAAAAGTTCATGCTCCTAGAATATACTGAAAGTGTTGGAAACATCGTACCAAATCTTCTGGAGAAGTCACCATACAAGAGATAAATAACATCAGTAAGTACTTATACGAGTAGAAACGTTAGCAGCTCTTCAGAGGACGAACAAAGCACTTTCGGCCATATTTTCTAACCTTTCCAGAAATTGTGTCACAAAAGTTGTCACATTTCTGTCAAGGTATACCAACTTTTAACCTGGCCCATACATAGGGTGTCCGGTACGACTAGACGAAAAAAGATGGATGAAGAAGAGCAACAAGAAGATAAAGATGAGAGCTATTTATTCAAGAATAATGAAAATATTATGGTATAGCAAGAAGTACAGTACCTAAAGAAGCTATTAAGACCAAGGGACAAAATAATTTTGAATAAAGAGAACTATGTCAATCAATTGGTTAACGAGAATAGACGTTTACAGAAGCATTATGAGTGGATCATTAGAAGAATGGTGGATCAAGAGACTTTAATCACTTCCTTGGAGAAAATACATTGAATGGTTGGAAAAAATAGAAGCTACTGCTTCATACACCCATTGTAGTGATCTAATCAAATCATATACGAGGGGGTACCCAAACAAACTGGAATTATTTTTTAAAAGCAATTGTATTCAACTTTTCCACAAAGTAACTCTATCTCCTTCAAAATGCTATCCACTACAACTAATACACTTGTCTCACCGGTGCTTCCACTGCTCGAAACATTTTTTGAGTCTTCCCTAGAAATGTCTGACAGCTCGTCCCACGTTTTTTTCTTGACAATGTCGTCAAAGCGGTGTCCTTTCATGCCCCGTCGAATTAAGAAAAAGTCGCACGGAGCCGAATCAGGTGCGTGAGGCGGCGGAACCATTTTGTGCGCGCAGCTGCATTATCGTCGTGAAAGAACCAGTCTCCTGACTGCCACAAATCGGGTCTTTTTTGTCGAACACTGTCTCGCAATAATCTTAAAACCTACAAATAGCACAAGATCTCGAATTTTTTCAACATTTTCGTCGATTCGGGCAGCTGAGGTTTGTCATCATTCGACATGTCGCCATTTTTAAATCGGGCAAACCACTCGTACACCTGAGTTTTTCCCATAGCATCATCCTTGTAAGCTATTTACAACATTAAAACAGTGTCAGCAGCATTGACTGCAGAGGAACGAAACAATCTGGATCGACAAATCAGGTGGCACTGAACTGGTAATGAGTCGCGCTGTACGCCTCTAGGGGCAGAAATATATACTACAGAAGCTCCGCCCACTGCAATGCTATTCTGGTTATACAGGGTCGCGCAGAGAAAATGCATGATTTTCACGTAAGCATAACATTCATTATGTTTAAGATTATTTTATTTTCACTACAGCTAAGTAAAGTAATAATAGTCCACTTTTAAATTATGGTAAATTATGTCACTCAAGTGTGGCCCCTCCTCGCGCTCGCACATCTGCAACCGCTCTTGAAAGTTGTGTTACACGTAGGATCATCTTTTGTGGTATTCTTGCGAGTGCCTGATGAATAGCAATTTTTAGTTCCTGTAAAGTACGGGGTTTGTGAGGGTACACTTTAACCTTAAGGTAACCCCACAAGTACAGTTCTCCCATGTTTAGTTGTTGCCGTTGAAGAAAATTTTGTAACATGTGAACATAACTTGCTGAAGTAACTGTTACTCCTCAAGAAAGTAAGGACAATGATACCTAATTTACTAATTCCGGGCCACACAGTCAATTTTTCACCATGCAAGGGTCGTTGGTGTAGCTCTCGTGTATCTACGGCCGCCCAATACCTACAGTTCTGCTTGATTACATACCCCGTTAAATGGAAGTGTGTTTCGTCACTCATCATTATGGCGACGTTAGGATCATCAGCAAAAATGGTTAGCATTTTTGCACAAAACTATCTACGCTGTACAAAATCACTTTCGGTTAGCTCTTGCACAATCACTATCTTATAGAAATGAAATTGTGGATCGTGCAGAATGCGTTGTAACGATCGACGGGACATACGCAGAGCTGGAGCTTGTCGCCTAGTAGACCATTGAGGACTATGAAGGACCGCTCTTCTCACTATTTCGATATTGCCTTCGGGGAAGGCGAGGTGTCTTCCTCTTCATTACAGATCCAGTAGTTCGAAATGCCTCAACCCGTCGGAGTATCGTATTTCGACCTGGAATTGACGCTTGGCGTTCAATGTTGAACTGGCAACAGAGTAAACGGTAAACTACAGAATCATTGTTCCAGAAAAATTGCTCGACGGCAAACAGACGATGCTCAGTTGTCGTCAGTGCCATGGCTAAGACTGCATTGCCTGTGTTCTCTGCTGGCGGTGGAGCAAGGTCAACGCATTTCTCTTTGCGAACACATGCGTTTTCTCTGCGCCACCATGTATTTGGGTACCTTCTCGTAGTGGTGCTGTAAAAGAGTAAGTAAATATCAGAGTCGGGAAGCGTATAGAGAAAATTATTAATACACAGAAGTTGACGATAAAAGGTACAGTCAAATCAAACTCTAATGTGCTGGAGGATTGTAAGAAGAGCATTGATCCAGCTTTTTAATCTACTTTAAATGTCGTCATTGAAGTTACCCCAAAATTTAGAAAAATGTTGCTAGATCGAGGTTATATATACATGAGTTAGCAACAAATGTTCGGATTTTGGCCACCTCGCAAAAAATTAAAAAATTCTAAAGTATCATGTCCTTCATGTGCTCTAGAACATTAAAAAAAATTGTAAATAGACTTTTAAAAATTGTTCAAACTGTGTGAATCAGAATTCTAAATACAACACTCAATTTTATATTAGTCATTCTTCTAAAGACTTAGATTGTCCAACTTATAAAAAACATGTTACATACTTAAAATCTAAAATCGAGTATGAATAGGGATAAATTCAAAGTTTTAAAATTTGGTCATATAACTGCAGATCAGTTTTATCAAGATTTCATGAATCACTCTGGTTCAAAACAACAGCCTTGGTATTGTTTGAATTTCGGAAACGTGGATATCAAAAGATATATCTAATGACCATATGAAGCCGCCTACACATATGCGAGCCGAGCCGTTCGCGAGCCGCTTGCGAACTGCTGGTTCATATGATTGGGACGGGATTTACAGCACCATACCGAGCGCTTACGAACCGCTCATGAGCAGGTCATTGCGAACCGTATGATGTCGGTTTTTCTGACGAGCACAAAGGGATTCAGAGTTCATATCGGGACGTGTTTGTGTGAGGTTGAGCTGTTCGCAAGAACTATTTTCGAATATGGAGTGGAAGGAGGAAAAACTATTCCAATTGATTAATATTTATAAAGCTAAATCCTTGTTGTGGGATCTCAAAAATAACAACCCCTCTAAAAAAAACTTAAAGGAAGATGTGCGGCGAGAAATAAGTGTTGAAATCGATATGCCTGTGGACCAGTGTAAACAAAAAAAAATATCTCTGCTGACTTCCTACAGGCGTGAAAAAAACAAAATGAAAATCATCACTCGTACAGGAAAAGGTAAAAATATAAATAACAATAAAGAGATTAAACACTTTTCTAGGTTTTTTATTCTAATATTTGAGTGTATTGTACATTTCAGTAATTTATCCTTTCATCTAACTGAACTGCATAAACTACTGATATTATTACACAAATGAACACTACATAATTCACGTAAAATCAAAAGTAATGGCTGGAATACAATGACATTTATTCGGATGGGTATTCGCAGATAGACATGATTCAAACTGAGGTACACAGACTGGCGTTCGCTGGTGGTTTGAGGCTGGTTCGTCTTTATTCCATGGATCGCTGGACGTTCGTTGTGAAAATAATTTCAAAGAACAGTTTTTGAGCGGGGTACGACTGCTATCGCTGTGAAAGAGATGTGCGAAGTGGTTGGACTATAGTCTTTGTAAAATGCCACTTCAACTCTTCGATAATTTCAACTGGGCAAGGCCGAAGTCATAAACATATGTGGTTGAAGGTGCAGCTTCCAAAACAAAGAATTGCTTTGGTATACGTATATTCTATCTGCCCCCACATATCTCTGCTACAGAAGTCGGTAATACCTTTGAAGATATGTTGCCTGCCATGTTAGCTTAATATGATGATATCATTCATGCAGGGGATATTAATGTTAATTTGCCTTCAGTTTGTAACAACTTGACTAAATGCCCTGATTCTTATAATCTGAAACAGGTGATACCTGAACCGACAAGGACAACTGAATCGACACACTCTCTTAGATAATATTTATTTGAGCAAGCCTGAAAGTTGTCTTAGGAGTGGCATCAATTAATGCTAATATGATTACTGATCATGATTTAACCTTCTGGAGCTTTTGATAGAAATAGATGTAATTATTTAGGTGTTCATGTAAGGGACAACGATTATCCAGGCATTGACGTTAATTGCCGGACAATGTGTTGAATGTCGAGCGAAGTTAAGCAATGTTGATAAAAACATAATACAAACATACAAGCGCGCTGTTTGTCTGGGAATGGAATTAGGGTATACACAATGTGTGACTATTTTTTGTAACTCTGACAGTGGCGCTGGTACAGTATAGCTAGTAGTTCGCGGTATTCCTTCCAGGACGTAAAAGGGTGCCTAACAAATTTCACCCTATGTATGTAAATGAGAAAACCAATCGTCTTGAAGCGGGGTTTACGTGGTGCCGTCTTATAATTGTGATGGCTTTGCACGATCTCGCCATGCTATAGGATAATTATTGTCGCAACACACTGTCTAGGAATTAAGAACAGAAAACGTAAATGAACTGTTACTAGGAAGACAGACAAACAAAAATATACTCTCATTAATTGCTATTGTATAGTTGAAATGGGCCACCGTGGTGGCTGAAGTGTCGTACAATAAATAAAAATTAGAGGATATACTATGTGGTTTGATTCGGTCTTACAATACTCTATGAACATGAAAATCGCAGTATCAGTTTCAAAAGTTACATCAATAGTTTTAGCTTTGCAATTTTTGTAATTTTCTATCATCAGCAATTGCAGAATTGAGTCTAAATAATAAAAAAACTATATGACGTATGGTTCACTCTGCGATTGATTATCATTCTTTGTACTCAAGTGAAGTGAGTGCAATCACAAAAAGTGCGAAAATACTATACAAAGTAAAGTAACAGATATTCTAAGGACCAGTGTAGATCTCCTTTTCAATTTTTTCAGAGCAAAGTTATGTCTAGCTTTAGAAACTGCAAGTACATATCAATACGGGGAAAACTTGACCACGTGTCACATTTACAAAATGTTATTAAATAGTATGAGAGCGTTCAATTCTTTATAAGCAACATTCCAAACCAATGTAGGTCAAATAATCTATCAATCAAATGATAAATTTAATAACTATTTCAAATGAGCGTACTTGCTTCTCAGAAATATTGCTGAATTCGGGCCTTTCAGTTTAGCCCCTACGATAGTCATCTTTGAGGTGAATCTGGCGCTTGATTGTTTTGTCACATTTACTACGAGCTAAATAAATGTATTTTCGATGTGTA